CGTTGTTTGGACTGGTTTTGAATTTCAGCTGAAGTCACGCGACGCGTAACCATGCTAACTTGAGGGTAAGGAAGTGTTTGATCCTGGCGGATCTTCTTAGGGGTGCTGGTAGGGGGTTGAAACAGTTTTAGCTCTGTATGGGTATCCGTTCGAACGACGCCATGGATGGACGAAGCTTCCCTCGAAAGGGGGTGTGGAAATATCCGGTATTTTTGGCTGGTGAGCGAGGAAAGCTTATGGCTTTGTGCATATTTGGATGAACGAGATGAAGTGGTACAGTGTGCGAGTTCTGCTTTGGTGGGGCGTGCATATTCTGCTTTGGAGAATTCAATGCTGGCATTCTTTGAGGAAGCAATTTGGAATTCGTGACTCCGGTCACCGGAAGAATGCTCGGGTGAGACTACATCAATTGGCCCGACCAATTGAGGTAGTGTCATCTTAGTGTTCAGAATTGTGTTTGGATATTGCATTGATATAACATTCGTGGATGCGGTGAGACTGGTATCTGTTGGGATCTGTTTTATGGTAACCATGAATATTTGTAAATAGATGCGAAGCCTGGAGCACTTTTCGGACATGTCTTGATGACATTGAGGAGTTCAGGATTGAGCTGAGAACGTTTGCATGCATTTGGAATCAATCTGAATTGAGGACGTTTGAATGCATGAGTGCATTTGAAGTAATTCAAGAATGTGAACATTTGAATGCAAGTGGAATCGTATGCATAGAAAGTGTTTATGAATTCAAAGAACCTGGAATGGAGTTTCCAGAAACCCACAGAATTTTTCAGCGAAAGTTGCGTTCTTTGAACTTTACTTTTATGGGAAACTTTCATAGAAAGTTTCCGCACTGTGACGAACCGATTTGAACTTTGAACTTTGGACTAAACTGAGTTTAGAGTGGCTGCTTGTTAGTAGTTGTGTGTGTAACTGTGAATAGTCGACACGTCGTTTTGAGTTTGTTGGTTGACAGGTTAACATCGAGACGGTGGTTGCCGATGCCCCTCAATGATGACAACAGACCAAGCACCCGTCATCATGGTGAGATGACAAAGTGGGGTGCTGGTCGTCTGAGGGGGGCAAAGGCGACCGCAGTGTCATTGTTGCCTGTCTCTGGTTAGTGGAAGAAAGTTCTTGAGAGAAAGATCTTCGGATCTTGAACGTTTAAACAATTGTTGCAGTCAAGCTGTATGGTTGCTTTTGGCTCAAAGCCAAGGAAACTGCAAAGAAGTAGTCTGAGACAGTCACGTGGTTTAGTCCAGTTTGTCTTGCTTGTTTTGCTTTGGTTCGTGTGTTTTTTGTTGCTACAGCACCTCTGAGAGAGCGTCCAAAAGGGTTGAGTTGTTCCGAACCTGAGAGCTTGTGTGTGGGAACCGCGTTTGCGCAAACTTCGCTGTGCGTAGGTTGTAGGAACTGCATCTAGGTGTAGGTCCTGGGATTTACGTAGAAAGGATTTTTGAACCAACTTGGGTTTGAATTTTCCGCAAAGCAGCGCATGCAACTTTTGCTCCATGAATTTGGAGTACACAGTGGCAATGGTGAATTTTCGAACAGCAAAGCTTGCGTCACAATGGTGGAGCACAAATCAGCAAATTGGCCAAGGCGGTGGCCTGAGCCATCATGGTGCTAGGCCTTGAGCCTCGTGCAGTTGCAGGTGTTGGAATCCAAGGAGACGATTTGCAATGCAGTGCAGACATAGTGGTACAATCCAATGATGATGGCCACTTTTGGGTCTTTTTCTGGATTGCAGTGCTTTTTCTGTTGTGGGCCGGTTTCATCTACAAAGCGTGGAAATTTGCAAAGCATGTGAGTGAGGAGCTCTCCAGCCATTCATATGGAGATCGATGCTATGGCAATCAACAACAGAGACTGGAAAGCCAACAGGAAAGCTTGAGTGCACTGGAAGGTTGGGTGGCCAATGTTGAAGGCCAGATCACTATGGTGAGTGATTACTCTGAGTCGGTTCATCATGGCTTGGTAGAACTTGGAGGGTTCACACGTCTGACGGATTTGACTCCTGATGAGAGGAGATGCATGTATACTGCTGAGCGTGCCAATCTGGTGTCACGCAATGCAATGGGTGCAGATTACTACATGAGGTGCCAGCATTAGCAGCCTCTGTTTCAGGAGACATACCGAGCAGCAGCTCAAATGCACCAAGGCCAGCGGGCATGGTGAATTTGCAGGATGACCTTGTGACTCAGTTGAATGCAGCACTGGCCAGGGAAGCATACCGTGATGCTTCCATTATTCAGCATTTGATGATGGACTTGCTGGATCTCAGCCACCAGAATGGATTCTACAACACAGAGCGCCGCAATCGTTTTCTTGGGTTGCTCAATCAGCGCTTCACTGAAATGCGTGACCATGCCAGACTTCACGGTCACCAGGATGTGGTTACGGTGTATGAATCCTATTTGCATTCTTGGAGGAGGTTCATGCATTGAGTTGTTTGGAGATCCGAGGCTCCACCAAACAAAGGGGGAGTGCAAAAGATTTTTGACAGTGTTTACCTCCTGAATGCATGTGTTCAGCTTTACTTTCAGTGGATGTCAGTTGTGAGAAACACTCAGAGACGCAAGGATGACAGACGCACAAATCGAGAAGTGTCACCAACCATTTTGGATGTGAATCGAATATTGACCGAGTCAGCAACCAACCGAGTCAGCAACTACGAGTCAGCAACTAAAAACAACCGAGTCAGCAACTACGAACGCCCGAGTCAGCAACCAAGAGTCAGCAACTAAAGCAGCCGAGTCAGCAACCAACCGAGTCAGCAACCAAGAACATCCGAGTCAGCAACCAAGAACGACCGAGTCAGCAACCAAGACCGACCGACTCAGAAACTAAAAAAGGACCTTTTCAGCAACCAAAAAAGGACCTTTTCAGCAACCAAAAATTCTCCTTTAAAATAAAGGCGCAGGACAGATTCAATGCTCCTTTCGCTTCTAAAATAGAGGCGCAAGTCAACTGGGGGTGGGGTGGGGTACAGCTACTACTGCAAATTCTCCGTTCCCCATTCAAAATAAAGGCGCAGCACGGATTCAATGTTCCTTTCTCCTTTAAAATAGAGGCGCAACTGAGCCAGGGGTGGGGTGGGGTGTGATAACGTTCTGGCTAGTGCGTTCTTCATGGATCATCTTCATTGACGTGACATAGGTGTTCCTACGCTGGGTGTTGGTTGGAGGGGTTTCGGGGGGGGTGCCTTCAAACCGAGCTACTGCCTCTATTTCAGAGGAGAAGGGAGTTTCAAACGGAGCTACTGCCTCTATTTTAGAGCTGAACGGGGTCTCTGGAGTAGTAGCTGTTCCTTTCTTTTAGAGGAGGAGTAGTTGCGCCTCTATTTTAGAGGAGAAGGGAGCCTTCGAACAGAAGGGAGCCTTCAAACGGAGAAATTGCCTCTATTTTAGAGGAGAAGGGAGCCTTCAAACGGAGCTACTGCCTCCATTTTAGAAGAGTAGGGAGCCTTCAAACGGAGCTACTGCCTCTATTTTAGAGCTGAACGGAGTCTCTGGAGTAGTAGCTGTTCCTTTCTTTTAGAGGAGGACGGAATGCTTCTATTTGAGAGGAGAACAGAGGCTCTTAGTAGTTGCGCCTCCATTTTAGAGGAGAAGGGAGCCTTCGAACGGAGCTACTGCCTCTATTTTAAAGGAGAAGGGAGCCTTCAAACGGAGCTACTGCCTCTATTTTGGAGGAGAAGGGAGCCTTCAAACAGAGCTACTGCCTCTATTTTAGAGGAGACGGGAGTTTCAAACAGAGCTACTGCCTCTATTTTAAAGCTGAACGGAGTCTCTAGAGCTGGAATCGGATTTGCCGCCTCTATTTTAGAGGACTTCAGTTTTTGGTTGCCGAAATGGCGCTTTTTTGGTTGCCGACTCAGCGCTTTTGGTTGTCGACTCAGACTCGTTTTGGTTGCCGACTCAGCCCTTTTTTTGGGTGCCGACTCATAGTTGCCGACTCAGGCCTTTTGGTTGCCGACTCAGACCGCAACCGATGGAATCCATAAGACATGGAATCATTTCACATTACTTTGAAGCCTTAGGCTCATCAGCAAAACAGGAGTGGCCGCTGCTTCGCAAAACCATTTTTTTCATAAAGGTATTGGTGTATTGGTGATTGGTGCACATTTGTGCAGCACATCTGTATCAGACCCAGCTAGCACAGGATTCCAAAACCCGTAGTGATTCAGAACACAAAGCACCGAAATCTGAAAGGGCTGCGAACGAGTGACACGGTAAAGAACATGTCAACTGGCTGAAGATGGGGAGTGATGCATCGAATCCTCCACAGTCAATGGAAAACGTAGCATGTCCGTGTAGAACACGCGCAGTATGCAAAAAACATGTATGGGACATGAAAAAGAACTGACAAACTTTTGAACACCCAATAGACCATGGGCTCTGTCAACTTAACTGTTGGTGAACCCAGAAAGGCATGACTGTCAAGTTTGGCATATGGTTGACTTAAAACAATCCATTGCAAACCTAGATTTCAATTCAAACATGTTTTGTCTAGCAATGTTTTTCGCTTCATTGTGGAGTATTTTTTCCGTGGAATTGTATTTTTTGTTTATGCACAATAAACTGAATTCGTCATGTGTAATGATTGTTCATACAGTTTTTCCGCATGACACATTTTAATTTCGTTGTCATTCTGTTTGGTTTGATTTGGTGCCAACTGTCCAACATACTTACATATCTTGTTTTGTCAGATTGACGGACTTTGAACGGTTAGTCTTGTTTCTGTTTGCATCGTCGCAAATGATTGTGTGATGTGCATTGGCAGTGTAGTGCAGTGACCCCAATTTTCAATTGCTGAAGAACGTTCATGTATCTGGATGAAACGGTAACAAAACATGTTCAGCAGGAAAAAACATATTTTTTTCAGAAAACACACCAATTTCATCCAATATCTGGCAATCACCTGGAGATTGAATGTGCATTGAACATGGCAACATGAAGGAAACGTTGAAACCCCATCCGCATCAATCATTTTTCACCCATGCAGCCCTTGCAACCGATGCAGCCGATGCAGTTGCAAGAACCGAGGTGTGGATTTGGTCTTGCGAGTTCCCAACGCAATTTTTATCGAAAATTCTGTCCCATGGAAAGGTGGAAGTGTTTCCTATCAGAAGTGTTTCAATCCAGATTTGATCTCCAATTTTTTTGGTTTGTATCTTTGCTCGTGACATCTGACTCTTCTTGATAGAGAAATCTAACTTTTGATGGTGACAGATGTGTTTTTTTTTGATGGTGAGATAATCACTCTTTAAGTATATACACAGGTAATCAGGTAATCATAGGTATATTAAATATATGATTCATATGATTATTTAGATAGATAGATAGATAGGTAGATAGGTAGATAGATAGATAGATAGATAGATAGGTAGATAGGTAGATAGGTAGATAGGTAGATAGGTAGATAGGTAGACAGGTAGATAGGTAGATAGGTAGATAGGTAGATAGGTAGATAGGTAGATAGGTAGATAGGTAGATAGGTAGATAGGTAGATAGGTAGATAGGTAGATAGGTAGATAGGTAGATAGGTAGATAGGTAGATAGGTAGATAGATCGATAGATCGATAGATCATAGTTTTCAGATTTCGGGATTGCCAGGCCTCTCATCAATGAACGTGGCGAGATCACCTCTTTGGTGCGACAACAGGCGGGTGGAACAAACCAATTTTTAGATATTGTGGAGATATCATGGGAAATGATGGGATAAGAAAATTCATCATGTTTTTGTGGGAAATAATGAGAGATAATTGATAATGTATAACAACAAAAACTATATGGGGAAAAATATGATATCATATTGTATAGTGGGACATACTGAGATAAGATGGGATGGGATATGATAATGATGGAATGGGATATCATACAATCCTCTTCCCACCAATATATAATACCGCTTCGAAACTTGTTGGTTAGTGTTGGATTCATTTATTTGGGTGCAGATATGGGGGGTATGGAATGTTTTTCAGTAGATATATCGAGAGAACTGAAGATATATAACGGAATATAGTGCGTTATGTGGAATGATGGGATGGGATGTAATGGGGTATAGCGGGATATAATAGGATGATATAATGGGATATCATGAGATAAAATGAGATATAATGAAATACTATGAGATATACAACCACACATATTGGATAAGTATGGGGATTTTAGAGAGCAAACGCCAAACGCGCGGAATTGACCGTGAAAAACACACAGTGAACGAACAAGACTGTTTGGTGCCCAGCCAGAAATGATTTTTTCATTTGTGTTCACAGATTTTTTGTGTTTCTCCAATCAACATGTCCCAATTACCATCTGGTTATGACTAACATATGGAAAATCCCCCAAATAAATGTAGGTTTTTATGGGAAAATCATCAAAATCATCTATTTCTATGGACCATTTTCCATGGTTTTTATGGGAAAATCATCTATAAATGGGAAAATCATCTATAAATGGGAAAATCATCTATAAATGGAATATCCATCTAACAACATTAACCATTATTTAACCATTATGGACCATTATAAATGGCCTGTTGGTTGCGCTAAAAATTCTTCGTTGAGGTGCCGATGCCAATGCACTACGGCACCATCGGCACCAATGCGCCTTGGGCAAAACACTCCACAGCCAGTCTAGCCCGAAGAGGACGTGGCCACTTGTTTACATATATACGTATGTATGTATGTATGTATGTATATCTATCTATCTATCTATCTATCTTCCTATCCTATCCTATCCTATCCTATCCTATCCTATCCTATCCTATCCTATCCTATCCTATCCTATCTATCTATCTTCCTATCTATCTATCTTCCTATCCTATCCTATCCTATCCTATCCTATCCTATCCTATCCTATCCTATCCTATCCTATCCTATCTATCTATCTTCCTATCTATCTATCTTCCTATCCTATCCTATCCTATCCTATCCTATCCTATCCTATCCTATCCTATCCTATCCTATCCTATCTATCTATCTTCCTATCTATCTATCTTCCTATCCTATCCTATCCTATCCTATCCTATCCTATCCTATCCTATCCTATCCTATCCTATCCTATCTATCTATCTTCCTATCTATCTATCTTCCTATCCTATCCTATCCTATCCTATCCTATCCTATCCTATCCTATCCTATCCTATCCTATCCTATCTATCTATCTTCCTATCTATCTATCTTCCTATCCTATCCTATCCTATCCTATCCTATCCTATCCTATCCTATCCTATCCTATCCTATCCTATCTATCTATCTTCCTATCTATCTATCTTCCTATCCTATCCTATCCTATCCTATCCTATCCTATCTATCTTCCTATCCTATCCTATCCTATCCTATCCTATCCTATCCCCCCCTAAAACATCCTTTCCAAAAAAAAAAGGTCCAAATCCTATCCTATCCTATCCTAACCATCTCATCTATCTTCCTATCTATCATCTCCTATCTCCTATCTTCCTATCCTATCCTATCCTATCCTATCCTATCCTATCCTATCCTATCCTATCCCTATCTATCTATCTATCTTCCTATCTATCTATCTTCCTCTCTTCCTATTCGTCCTATCTTCCTATCTTCCTTCCTTCCTATCCTATCCTATCCTATCCATCCTATCTATCTATCTATCGATCTTCTATCCTATCCCTATGCCTATCCTATCCTATCTATCTATCTATCTTCCTTAATCTTTCCTATCCTATCTATCCTATCCTATTCCTATCCTATCCTATCTATCTATCTATCTATTTCCTATCCTATCCTATCCCTATCCTATCCTATATCCTATCCTATCTATGTATATCTATCTATCTATCTATCTATCTTCCTAGTTTTTTTCCAACCTAGTCCTATCCTATCCTATCCTATCCTATCCTATCCTATCCTATCATCTATCTATCCTTCTTCCTATCTTCCTTCCTAGCCTAAGTCCTATCCTATCCTAGTCCTATCTATCTATCTATCTTCCTATCCTATCCTATCCTATCCTAATCCTTATCCCTATCTATCTATCTATCTATCTATCTTCCTATCTTCCTATCTTCCTATCTTCCTATCCTATCCTATCCTATCCTATCCTATCTATCTATCTATCTATCTTCCTATCCTATCCTATCCTATCCTATCCTATCCTATCTATCTATCTATCTATCTTCCTATCTTCCTATCTTCCTATCCTATCCTATCCTATCCTATCCTATCCTATCCTATCTATCTATCTATCTTCCTATCTTCCTATCTTCCTATCTTCCTATCCTATCCTATCCTATCCTATCCTATCTATCTATCTATCTATCTTCCTATCCTATCCTATCCTATCCTATCCTATCCTATCCTATCTATGTATATCTATCTATCTATCTTCCTATCTTCCTATCCTATCCTATCCTATCCTATCCTATCCTATCCTATCTATCTATCTATCTATCTTCCTATCCTATCCTATCCTATCCTATCCTATCTTATCCTATCTATGTATATCTATCTATCTATCTATCTATCTTCCTATCCTATCCTATCCTATCCTATCCTATCCTATCTATCTATCTATCTTCCTATCCTATCCTATCCTATCCTATCCTATCCTATCCTATCCTATCCTATCCTATCCTATCCTATCTATCTATCTATCTATCTTCCTATCCTATCCTATCCTATCCTTTCCTTTCCTTTCCTATCTATCTATCTATCTATCTTCCTATCTTCCTATCCTATCCTATCCTATCCTATCCTATCCTATCTATCTTCCTATCTATCTTCCTATCCTATCCTATCCTATCCTATCCTATCCTATCTATCTATCTATCTATCTTCCTATCCTATCCTATCCTATCCTATCCTATCCTATCCTATCTATCTATCTATCTATCTTCCTATCTTCCTATCCTATCCTATCCTATCCTATCCTATCCTATCCTATCCTATCTATCTATCTATCTTCCTATCCTATCCTATCCTATCCTATCCTATCCTATCTATCTATCTATCTTCCTATCCTATCCTATCCTCTCCTCTCCTCTCCTCTCCTCTCCTATCCTATCCTATCCTATCCTATCTATCTATCTATCTATCTTCCTATCTTCCTATCCTATCCTATCCTATCCTATCCTATCTATCTATCTATCTTCCTATCCTATCCTATCCTATCCTATCCTATCTATCTATCTATCTATCTATCTTCCTATCTTCCTATCCTATCCTATCCTATCCTATCCTATCCTATCTATCTATCTATCTATCTTCCTATCCTATCCTATCCTATCCTATCCTATCCTATCCTATCCTATCTATCCTATCCTATCCTATCCTATCCTATCCTATCCTATCTATCTATCTATCTTCCTATCTTCCTATCCTATCCTATCCTATCCTATCCTATCTATCTATCTATCTTCCTATCCTATCCTATCCTATCCTATCCTATCCTATCCTATCTATCTATCTATCTATCTTCCTATCTTCCTATCTTCCTATCTTCCTATCCTATCCTATCCTATCCTATCCTATCTATCTATCTATCTATCTTCCTATCCTATCCTATCCTATCCTCTCCTATCCGATCTACTATCTATCTATCTCTCTTCATCTCACCGATCCCTATCCTATCCATCCTATCTATCTATCTATCTTCCTATCCTATCCTATCTATCCTATCCTATCTATCTATCTATCTCCTATCCTATCCTATCCTAATCCTATCCTATCCTATCTATCTATCTATCCTATCTATCCTACTCCTATCCTATCCTATCCATCACTAATCTACTTCTAAATCTATTTATCTATCTATCTATCTATCTATCTTCCTATCTTCCTATCTTCCTATCCTATCCTATCCTATCCTATCCTATCTATCTATCTATCTATCTTCCTATCCTATCCTATCCTATCCTATCCTATCCTATCCTATCTATCTATCTATCTATCTTCCTATCTTCCTATCCTATCCTATCCTTTCCTATCCTATCCTATCCTATCCTATCTATCTATCTATCTATCTATCTTCCTATCCTATCCTATCCTATCCTATCCTATCCTATCCTATCCTATCTATCTATCTATCTATCTATATTAGATGTGTACATGTTTCTGCGTTTCTGTTTGCATTTTTACCATTTTTTTGGGGGGTTTATTTATGAATTTATATGTAGTTACCAGAATGGCGGGTTTTCAGACTTTGTACCAATCAGAAAACCATCCTACCAGCCGGTGTTGTGGTTTTTGCACCGTCGCAGCGAGGCTTTCTACACTGGTAATCCCTTGCCAGGCGGGGTTTTGGATGCCTCGGGTGGTGCAGTTTTTTTTTGGGAATTTCAGCAAAAATATGAGGATTTTCTGTGGATTTCTACAGAACTGTAGGAGATTTCAGTTTTTCAGCCACTAAAAATTGGGGGTCTTGGATCCCAGATTTCTTGGGGGTACCAACTTGGTCCAGATGGATTATGAGAATGATCATTACATTGTGCAGTATATCGCCTAAACTAATCATCAAGCAACCATAATTTATGAGTGATATCATCATAATATATCATAATCATACATAATATATCATAATCATATCTCCTTATTGTGACCTTATTGTGACTTGATTTACCCTGTCATGATTTTCATCACTATCTCCATTTCGGCATCATGACTCAGCGGCGTGTGGTGGAGGGATGAACGGCCCCTTCAAGTTCTTCGTGAACACTCCCGCGCACTTCTTGCCGGATCCCGCTACACCTGCGGCGCAACCAAGTGCGGACTGGGGGGTAGCCCGGGGTAGCCGTGTTCAGAAACCTGGGATGAAAAATTCTGGCGACTTGATGGGATAAACCATGGGATTTAATTGGATTCAATAGCATTTATGGATTAAAAAAGCGACTTGCAATCAACAATCTGATATGTGGGTTTGTCTGAAATCATCCCAAATCTGATATGGTATCCCGAAAAATGGGGAAAACATGAATGAAATACATGATGACCCATTAAATTTCAATAGTTAGCACAACTGTCCAACGTTTTTTTTGGGCGGATCGAAGGTAATCTTTTCACTAATCACACCTGATATACTCACTATATGTACCATCTGGTTATGACTAACAGTTCGCCATGGAAAATCACCATGCTATTAATGGTAAACCATCTATTTCGATTAGGGCCATCGAAAAACCATGGCTATGGTAGTCATAACCAGAGGGTATCTATATGTATCGTTCATGCCCCCTGTTTCGATACCCTTTTTTTACCCATCAAGAAACCATCTATCAAACATGGCTTGGAAAATCCCCGAGGGTTCGATGATTTTTGCTAGAAACCTTCATTTTTTAATGGGGACTTCAGAAAACACTTGCTGGCCCCGAACAGAAGGAGTCGCTGCGTCGTTGGGCACAAGGGCCTCTGCCATATAGTCGTTCTAGTCCATAATCTGAAGCCGTGTACTCGACAGGGTTTTGGGAGAGACTGTGGCACCCAGATACGCAGCCATCTTTGATTACCAGAGAGTCAGAAATACTACTAACATTTTTCTAAACAACATTAAAATCCCGGCAAGAGACCCCAAACAGTGTGGGGGGAGTAAAAGGCTAATGTATTATAATGTTGATGATGATGATGATGATGATGTTAATTGATGTCGATGATGATGTTGATGATGATGGTGATGTTGATGATGATGGCGATGATGATGACGTTGATGGTGATGATGATGATAATGATGATGGTGGTGATGAGGATGATGATGGTGATGATAATGATGATGGTGGTGATGAGGATGAGAGGAAGATGATGATGTTGATGTTGAGGAGGAGGAATATGATCATGTTGAGGAGGAGGATGTTGAGGAGAAAGACCGATCCCAAGACCGGGAAGCACACTGAGTGCGAGCCTGCGCAGTCGAAATGCACATGGACATATCACAAGAGCCATTTGGTACGGACATTTACAGGGAAAATGACCGAGGACACCCCCGCGGCCAGCGTTTTGTGCGAGCCTGCGCAGTCGAAACGCACATGGACATTTCACACGCGCCATTTTGTGTGGAAATTTACTGGGAAAATGCCGCACGCGTCGCCCACGGACCTCGTTTTTTGCGAGCCTGCGCAGTCGAAATGCACATGGACATTTCACAAGAGCCGGACGCCCCGGATACCACCTCGATTGAACACCGGGCCTTAACTGTTACCGTAAGAATCCCTCAGTGTGGCCACACTGTTTGGGCAATTCAATGTTCCCAGTGTATCCCCATTCCACCGTCTTCCTTTCGGAAAGAAACCAATCTCTTTATAACCACATGATGAAACCCAGCAGATTGGGCTAACGGTCAACCAGCTGCGCAGGCTTCCAATCCATGGGTTGTCAAGCCATGTCTCCGATGTCCATGGCGTCCAAGACACCTGCACCTCGGATAGTTCGGTGAATCGAGAAACGGGATCCGATGGGAATGGAGATCTAATATCCATGATGGGAACGTCTGGTAAACATACAAAAAGCTATTGAAAATGGCCCAGTCGAAAGTTCGGATTGATTCTCCCAGCTATAAAATGGTGGATCTTTCCAGTTCGCTATGGGAAATCAGATGAACCAATGGGGAATCCAATGGTGCCATGAGTTCACAGTGGATCAACGATCTTCAAGGTGAAACTAACATGTCTTGTAATGTTTTTGGATCCAGAATTCAAGTCTTTTTTCATTTTTCTAAAATATTTTTTTATGGTTTTGATATTGGAACACAGAGAAAATAATCCCCGGGCTTCACCAAACATGGCTGGGAAATCAGTGATGAACAGGCATTGGAATGCTACAGTCATCGAACATCATCGAACTAAATGGGTGATTCTCCAACAAACCATGTTTCAGTTGGCCAGTCAGGCGGGTGCGACGGTGCACGATGCCTTTGGCGCGTCTCCAAAGGTTCGCGACCGAAATGGGGAGTTTCCATCGGCTTCGGGGCTCTCGGGAGGTCTTGGGAGAGGGATTGGACCACGTTTCATGAGTCCAAATGATCAACTGGTTTTGGATTGGCGCCGCAGTATATTATTTTTTGTGAGGGTTGGGCGAAATCATGAGGTGCCATGCGCTTAAGCCTTTGGCTGTGCTGGATTGTGGAATTCCGTGTGGTCATATGACAACTGTGACCCCAGGTTGAGTTTCGAGTACTGGTTCTTCAAATTGAATTTTGCTGATGAGTTGCCCAAATCCGTTTGGGCCAAAAATTTTTGCCATGCAAAACGCACTTCTTTGCCCTAGCCACGTGCGCCAAGGGCTTGCAAGTCCCCACTTTCAGGCCACAAGTATCAGGCCAGGGGGAAGGGATGATGCCGAGTTTGTTTGATCCCTGAAGTGACGACATGTGAGAGAACTCCCTTATAACATCGAACATGGAAACACCGGGTTTGGACTGTGAATTTTCCAAGTTAATATGGCAATTTAGGGGTCTTATCAAAAGAACATGGGGGACTTCTAGTTGGAGCTGTGCGATGTTATGGGTCAAAATTATGATTACAGGACCCCTCGAATGGATAGAACAGTTGTTGGTTCATTTGCGACCAATTTTTCTGCATTCTTTATGAATATCTGATACATGATTCCCTTGTTCGACAGTCGTGGTTTCGGGTCCAACCCCAAGCACTTCTCCAGGTTCGGCTTTTACGGATGTGAGCCCGTATGTGGCAGGTGCTACGGTGTCGATATCCATTCCTGGGAATCGTCAAAATGGGGGGGGGATATGTTTCAGGATTTTCCATCCACTTCAATGGATTCTCATCGGAGAATCCCCATAAAAAATGGGAATGTCATCTTTGATTGATGGTTCTTGATTTTGGGCCAGATTCTCATGTCGAGGATTCTTAAAACTAGACGACGGATGGCCCGAGAGCGTAGAGGAACAATTTCTTCTAGTGTTAATATCAAGACAATATATCACAAGACAATATATTAAAGATGTATCATACTCAGGCGAGAAGAATGGTATCAAGACAGTATATTACGAGACAACATATAAAGGATGTATGAAATTCATATGAGAAGAAAAGGATCACATCATGTCAAGGAAAAGGCTTTAGGGCGGAAATCGAAGAAAAGGTATATAAAGTGTTCTACATCAGACACCTTTACACGCAGCTACTTTTACATCCTTTTCACACATAAATGCTTTTACACACAGACGCTTTTACACACAGACGCTTTCACACACACAGACGCTTTTACACACAGATGCTTTTACACACAGACGCTTTACATACATGATGCTGTGACACAGACGCTTTTACACACAGGATCCTTTACACACAGATGCTTTCACATACAGACGCTTTTACACACAGACGCTTTTACACACAGACGCTTTCACACACAGACGCTTTCACATACAGCCGCTTCACATACAGCTGCTTTTACACTCAGACGCTTTTACACACAGACGCTTCTACACACAAACGCTTTCACACACACACACAACCGTCGTATTATGCTTGGGAACCCGCTTCGAAACTATTCGAAACTTCACCAGCCGCAGCATAATAACACATTTTCATCTCATGTATAGCATCAAAATTTTTACCTCAGGTTTTGACGATCCACCCTCATTTCATGCGAAAGGGTTGCGCGCGGCCCGTCAAAATCGCAATTTTAAACCAGTTTTTGACGATCGACTTTCATTTTGGGCGAAACTGTCGCGTTTCGTGATCGTTCGTGGCCACCGCCCCCACCTCAAGAGAGAAGAGAAATTAGCAGACGAGAGAGAACCAGAGAGATCACAGACAGACAGACAGACAGACAGACAGACAGACAGACAGAGAGAGAGAGAGAGAGAGAGAGAGAGAGAGAAGAAAAGAGATAGAAGAGATGAGTAACGAAGACGGATTATCTCAGTTTCTTTTTTTGGAAGACCCTACCCTCGGGCGCTCTCGGGAACAGCTAATTAGCACTTGTTTTTGGCGAAACCTGCTTTGTTGGCAAACCAAACAAATTCCAAAATTTTGTTTGAACATTCTGGAGTCTAATTCCTGATTGGGAATTTCTGCCAGTTTTTTTGAGCAGATCCCATTGGACTTTGGACATTTTCGGAAGTTTTCCGTGGACCATGATCTGCAGGGCTTCCATTGGGGTTGTTGAGCCCTGGTGCTACGCTAGGCGATCCGGCCCAAGCGCACCTGGCACATGCCATGTGCTTAGCCTTGGGCTGGGTGGCTCTAGAAATCTGGGTTTTGGAATTCCGTGTGGTCATATGACAACTGTGACCCCAGGTTGAGTTTCGAGTACTGGATCCTCAAACTGAAAGATGTTGGGTCCATGATATTTTGCTGATGAGTTGCCCAAATCCGTTTGGGCCAAACATTTTTGCCATGCAAAACGCACTTTTTGGCCCCAGCAAAGTGTGACAAGGTTTTGCAAGTCCCCACTTTCATGCCACAAGTATCAGGCCGGGGGAAGGGATGATGCTGAGTTTGTTTGATCCCTGAAGTGACGACATGTGAGAGAACTCCCCTATAACATCGAACATGGAAACACCGGGTTTGGACTGTGAATTGTCCAAGTTAACACGGAAAGAACCGGGGACTTTTAGTTGGAACTGTGGGATGTTGTGGGTGGAAAATTATGATTACAAGACCCCTCAAATGGATAGAGCATTTTTGGCAGCATGTTTGGGATGCTGTTTATTGCAAAATTTGGGTGACACTAACTCTTGAACTTGAGTGTTTTGAGACCAGGTCCTGGTTTCAGTCGTTGGTCCATTTGCTAGTGGATTCTTGATGGAAATCTGATACCAAAATTGTATTCCCTTGTTCGACGGTCACGAATCCATCATTTCGGGGGGTCAACCCCAACAAATGTTGGATTGAAACCTTAAATTCGAGTGATGGTTTCGGGGCCAAGGGATTCGATTCCCTGAAGATTGTAGGAATTCAGAACCACGGGGTCCCAAACCACCCTGCATCATTGGGGGCAAAAATTGTTCGCAAGTATTGCTTGAGAATGTTCGCCCGGTGGTTTTGGAGGAAATTCCACTTCTGAATCTGTAGTGTTTCGGGTCCAACCCCAAGCACTTCTCCAGGTTCGGCTTTCACTGATGTGAGCCCGTATGTGGCAGGTGCCGCGGCATTGGCTCCGTAATGCGAAAGTGGTGATGTAGATATCAATTCCCGGCAACTGTCAAAATGATTGGGGGGTACTTTTCAGGATTTTCCATCCACTTCGATGGATTCTCATCGGAGAATCCCCATAAAAGATGGGAAGGGCTTGAGGCGACTGATGGTTCTTGATTTTGGGGCCAGATAGTCATGTAGTCTAAGTAGTAGTCTAGGATTGTTAAAACCTTGGATGATTAGAATCCTCGGTAAAAAATGGCACCTGTTTTTGGCGGGTTGCTGCTCGGCCGTGCTCGTGTTAGGTGATCCGGAGCAAGCGCATCTGGAACATGCCATGTGCTTAGCCTTGGGACATCTCCACGGGCAGGTTGAGTTCAGAATTGGTGCTGGATCTTCAAATCTGACAAGGGAAAACTGAAAGATGTTGGGTCCATGATATTTTGTTGATGAGTTGCCCAAATCCATTTGGGCGAATAGTTTTTGCGTGTGCAAAGAACACTTCTTTGCCCCAGCCACGTGCGCCAAGGGCTTGCAAGTCCCCACTTTCATGCCACAAGTATCAGGCCAGGGGGAAGGGATGATGCCGAGTTTGTTTGATCCCTGAAGTGACTACATGCGAGAGAACTGACCTATAGCATCGAACATGGAAACACCAGAAAGTGGTTTTGGAATGTGACATTTCCTAGTGAGGCTCATTTTATCATCACCATCTCATGTAGGATGGACAAAAACTAACACAATGTATATATAATTAATTGTATATGTATATATATATATATTTTTTCTATATGTATATTTGTATATATATATATATATGTATGTTTATATATATATACATATATATACACACATATTCACAGATAATCCTAGTTAAAATACATGGCAAGTTCGCGGTCATCTTCAATTTAACCGTGGATGGACTTCGGAGCGCCGGGCGATCCCATAGACCTGGAGGCTTCAAGACAAACCCAGAAATGAATCGAACACCAACCTGGAAAGGCATGGAAAATCGCCATTTTATAGCTGGGTAAATCCACTGTAAATGGCAATTTTCAATAGCTATGTATGTTTACCAGAGGGTAAACTGGAAAGGTAAAGATGATAGATATCCTCACCCGCTTTGACCGCTGCGACATCAGTGGATTCCCTTTGAGGCAGCTCAGCGGTGCATCAGCCAGGCCCAGTTTCCGGGTGTTTGGTTTTCGGCAGCCAGGCTTTTTTCACATCACCATATAGGAGCCTGGGATTTTATGGCAAGGATGCCGTAAAAACCAAGCAAGGACATTCCAAACATCGCCAAAACATGATCTAACCATTCATAGTGGGCATA